GTACAATATAATCTAGGCCTAGAATGTTTTCAGCCTCTGAGACTTACTGCTGAGTAAGTTCACCCTTTCTAGTTCTTTCTTGTCTCTGGTTGGGTGATTCAACTTAGCTGTTTTGGCTCAAATGCCTCTCCACGCTGACTGATTCAATCTGGCTTCTCTTGGCCTCTCTGGAATTGCTCTGCGTGACTTCAAACTAATTCTAGCAATCTGTTCTAATCTTCTAGCTCCTTCTGTTGTTTCTCTGTGCCCCTGTCTAGTAAAACAGCCTCCTTTTTCTCAATGCACTGTCCCTTAAGTAGCTCCCCTTTCCTCTCTCTTCTCTCTTGTAATAGTTGGCCATATCCTATTCTGTCAAGTCTTTCTCTGATTTATCACTTTGTCTGCCACACAGTTAGCCATCACTTTCCAACATGGGTGTTCCTTCTACAAACTAACTTTACCTTCCTTGTCTGGGATTAAAGGTGTGTGCTAAGGTCTGAGCCACACCACAGCTAGAAACACAGTCTCTGCAGCCATGTTACACACTAAGTGCAAGAGATTCTGAAGACCATGACAGAGGGAAAACCGTCATCCCTAAACTGATCTTTTGTTTCCGATGACTTAACAACTGTGCGAAACTGGGCAATGTCTAGTTTCCCACAGTGGTAGAAAACTTGTAGACAGTCGTTCTGGAGGTTGGGGTGGGGGTATTTCTCATTGTTTACTTAATACATACTTTAAATACTAGCCTTGTGGTATAATTAAAAGAAGTAATTGCCAGTATTATTAAGTTTTTTCTAAGCATAACAGGAAAATCCCAGTACTGAGAAAAGAAAATAAGAACCAAGAAGCTAGTTAGTAGTTGATACCTGCTAGTGGAAAGGAAAATACATTTTCCTGAGTGGAATGTCACGAGGAATATTAAGCACACTCCAGGGCAGGCCTGGTGCCTAGGAGGAACTGGCCAACACATAACAGACTGAATATGTTTTGGGGATTTTGTGTGTGTGTGTGAAAACCTTTTTGTTTTGTTTTTGTCTTTTTGGTTTTTGTTTTGAGGTTTTTTTTTTTGTTATAGTACTTTCTTAAACTTCAGTATTAGATTATCAAATGTGATTTTGTGAAGGAAACCCTGACACATGCACTCATTTTTTTAAAAAAAAAAATTTAAAATACTTATTTTATATTTATGTGTATATGCATGACTGCCTAAGTTTATGCATAGCACATCTGTGCAGGTGCCGAAAAAGGCAAGAGGACATTGCATTCCCTGGAACTGGAGTAACAACTCTACCTGGGTGCTGTAAACCAAATTGAAGAGCTGTAGTGTTCTTAATGGCTGGGCCATCTCTCTAGCTCCTCTTTTAAAATATCATTTTTCTCTCTTTCCTTCCCTCCCTCCCTCCCGCCCGCCCTCCCTCCCCCCCCCCCCCCCCCCTCTCTCGCTTGCCATCGTTTTAAGGCTTTATTGTAGGTAATCTCTTTAGAGACAGTGGTGGTGTGGACCTTGCTGAATTCTTTGCACTTTTGGATTATGGTAGATATCCTGCCATGTTTAATTTCGGTTCAGTGCTCTGCCGAGGTCAGCAGTTCTAGTTGTTTTAAACTTTGTTTTGTGAAAGATAGTCGGAGTGTTATGCAGGTGGTTTAAAGCAAACTGCAGTTCCGGGGACACAAACGCATGTAGACAGGATGAAGAGCTGTCACAAGAAATCCCACAGTGTGTCCTGCATTCTATTACAGTGTGTCTGTCCTGCATTCTCTTGTTTCCCCTTTGCTCATGTGCTAGACACTTCTTGCCATGTTCTACCTAGTGCTCTGCTACTGTTGGGATACAGGCTTAGCCAGGAAAGATGAAGAGAAGTATACAAGCTTGGCAAAGATGATAGTTCTGGAGAAAGAAGAAAGATTTACTTTGAATCTCAGGGTTGGTAGAACCTGGCAGACAGAAAATTCTAAGTTGTGATATTAAAATATATCTATATCTATATCACATTAAGGTATTTGGATTAAGACCAGACAGCAGAAGTGTAAAGATAAGAGGCTCCAAAAAGTTTCTAGTGAGCAAGAGCCTGACTCAGTGTTAGTAACACTTGTTATTTTACTCTAATTGTTCCAGAAAGACTCTTAAACACCTTACAGAGGAACATGTAGCCGAGTGCAGAAGGGAAGAGGAGGTAGATGAGGAAAGCCACGCAAAGCTAGCCTGGGAAAGGACTGTAAGTGTGGTTCATGAAGAGACTCACGGTCCCCAGTACTGCAGAGCCTGCTCTTGGCTCTGTATCAGTCAGGGTTTCGTTTTTGTGACAGCACACATTTCTGTCTGAAACTTCTTGCGGCCAGCTGTTATTCTCTGCATGCTGGTTAGCATATTGGTCTGCTGTTTTCACCCAAATTGCCCAGTAAGCTTCACAGAAGAACTTTTAAGCTGCCTTCTCAAGCCTTCCTTCTCCGTACTTTCAGACTTTTGTAGACAGTCCCAATCACTTCTGAACAGTCTTATTAGCTAGGGTCATAGCAATGGTTCTTAGTCTTGGTTCTAGTTTTCTGGGTTAAGTTTCCACCACTGGCAGAAATAACTGAGGAAAATCAACTTATTTATTTTATTTGTGTTCTGTGGGTGAGGAAGATAGGCGTGTGTGCAGGTTAGAGGATCACTGTTGGGAGTGGTAGCCAAGGATCAAACGCAGGTGGCTTTAGCGGCTAGGCCCTCTTGACAGCTCCAGAAATCAACTTTGACCAAGGAAAGACAGCAAGAGTAAGTAAGGGGTTTACCACCAAGCCTGGTAACTTGACTTTAACCCAGAACGCATATGGTGGAAGGAGAGAATTGAGTCCCACAAGTTGTCCTCTTGACCTCCACACATGTGCTATAGAGCTTTCAGGGACTTTAAGATCCATCACGCTGATCTGTCCCAACCCTGAGGACTGACACTCAGGGGGCTGAGTCAGCACTTTTAAGTTTGCAGGCAGCCTGAGTTACATTGTGATACTTTTAAAAAAGTTTTTATTTATTCGTTTTTACGGGTGTTTTGCTTGCATGTATGTATCTGTGCACAGTGTTTATGCTTGGTGCCCAGGGAGACCAGAAGAGGGCAAGGAGCCCCTGAGATTGGAGTTAAGGTTGTGAACCACCACGTGGGTGCTGGGAATTGAACTCAAGTTCTCTGAATGAACAGCCAGTGCTCTTCATTGTTTGAAACCCTACTTTTAACAAAGATCCATCCAAATTATGTTAGCTTAGCCCAAAGAGAAAATGTAAAGATCTCAGCATTGCCTATTTAAATTTAGTAGAGTATTATTATTACTTTTTTTTGTTTTTGTTTTTTTGTTGTTGTTGTTGCTGTTGTTTTTTTGAGACAGGGTTTCTCTGTGTAGCCCTGGCTGTCCTAGAGCTCAGGCTGGCCTAGAACTCAGAAATCCACCTGCCTCTGCCTCCCAAGTGCTAGCATGTAAAGGCGTGTGCCACCACTGCCCGGCTTAATAGATTATTAAATCACACAGAATTTGATCAAGATTAAAGAAACGTTTGTCTGTCTTAAATGGTAATATACTACACAGTATATATTTCATATTCTAAGGGCTTTTTGTTTAGATAGTCTATAGCATATGCTGGATTGTGATCCTCCCATGTCAACCTCTTATATGCTGCCGTTCTGTGTGTGCCACAGTGTCTGGCTTAGGGCCCCTAAGCACTAGTAATAGCACTAGGCTGCTGTTGGTGTAGCTCAGAAACAGTTGAGAGAGAGAGAGTTCCTATAGGGGAGACCACAGTGATGTGCAGAGATTCAAATGACAGAGTCGCAAGTAGCTCTTGATATTTTTGTTGAGCACAGGACCTCATAAATTTTTACTTAATTTGGTTCTCTATAAGCAGGTTTTAAAAAATTAAGTCTTTAGTTTCTTCATTCTAAAATCTACAAATCTTTTTGTTTGCATTGTTAGGCCCAGACTGGTGCCAGGTCAGCACTCAGCTGTGGCCAGGTCCCCAGCCTCCCCATCTTTCAAGAGTTTAAAGCTCCCAGTTATTAAGATGGGCTGGGGATATTTGTTTCCCAGTGATAGTCTTTTGGGAGAAGTTAATACTGTTTTCCAATTTGCCTGTTCAGTACAACTGCTTAGAAGACCAGTTCTCTGTATTATGAAGAGTAAGCATTTCCATTATTAATCTATAAAGAATTATGATGCTCGTATTAACTTTCTACTTTTCTTTTCTTAAACTAGCCTATCTCTCTGAAGCCATGAAGCTGACACAGTCTGAGCAGGTGAGACACTCGTATTTGCAGAAGTGTTTTGGGGGGCTGGAGTGATGGCTCAGCAGTTAAGAGAACCCAGGGTCTATTCCCAGTATGTGTCCGGGCAGCTTACCAGCACTTTCAGTGTGGGGCATCTGATGCCATCTCTGTCCTCTGTCTTCTGGCTTCATACTCACGCCCCCTCCTCCCTCCGTTATTTAAAAAAACAATCATGACCCCACCATTTAGTCCTTGCTGGCCTGGAATACACTGTGTAGAGCAGGTTAGCCTTGAACTCAGAGGTCCACAGACCTCTGCCTCTAGTACTGGGATTATAGGTATGTGCTACTAGGCCTGGCTGAAAATAAAACTTTTTTTTTTTTTTAAACCCCCAGAGCAATGTTTTCTTGAATTGTGAGACTGAAAAATATGCAGATGTATTTTAGGAAGGAAATTAAAACTATAAGAGCCACCACTGGCATTCCAGACTGCTTTCCTGTTTCCTGTCATTGCTTCCAGGTCTCAGCTAGCCAGGGGTTTTCTTTAGACCCTGTCAGGACCTTTCCCAGTGCTCCACTGGCTTTTGACACTGGCTCCCATTGAGGAAGCAGGAATGGCCCAGGAAACCAAATGGACTACCCTTTGCTTAGTGAAAGGCAGTTTACATTGGACCAGTCTCCTGTTTGTCTCTTGAATACGTAAAGGGTTCCTGGGCTTTGAGATCTGTTTCTGGATGACTTTGTATTGTTTTATGGCTTGGGGCAAGCCTGTGCCTTAGTCTTAAATCTCCATTCACCTGGCGTTGGAGAGGAGTCTGAGCAGTTTAACGTACTGACTGCTCTCTGCTTCCCAGCTCCCACCAGGTAGTGTGTAGTTAGCAGAGGAAGCCCAGAGTGAGTGAATGTATCTTATTTACTTGGGCACAGCCTTGACAAAGACCAAGACTTCAGACCCATGAGAAGTTGTCAAAACCTTTTCCAAATGGATCAGGCTCAGAATTGGCAAAGCCTTTTTTCTCTGGTCCAAGTATGAATGTTGGTGTGTGCAAAAACTAGCTCTTGCAGCTTTGTCCTGGTTGTTTACAGTTGAGACTGCCCTTCTCCGTCCAGAGACTAGTCGGCATCTCTCTGCTGCACACAGTAATCATGCTGAGATCCAGGTTGCAGTGATGGTAGGTGTGGCTCCATTGCTTTCCTGGACATGTGTCTGCCCGTTCTTCATCCTTCTGCCACTCCAGGGCAGAGTCCAGGCTCACGTCCTGTGGGTCACAGCAGGGCCCACAACAGTCTGTCTCCAGTTGTACTCATGTACACACAGAAAATTAAATATTTGTAAACAACTGTGTCCAAAGCTAGGATTTCATGTTTTCAGCGCCTGGAGTCAAGCTTAGGTCTTTGTGCATGCTCATAAACGTATCCCACTGCTACATCCCTAGCGTGGAGATGCTCTTCCTCATCACATGACTATAAACAAAAAGGGGTGCTGACTGAACTGAGGACATAATTCCTACAGGCTGGAGCATTGACAGCCTGAACCAAGGGAACATTGAAGCTACAACTGGCAGTGCAGCACTTGTAATGGCTGCCCTACAGGTGTGCATCGGGTTTTCCAGATACAGATGACAGGGATATAGTCCATCCGGGTAGGGCAAGCGTCACACTTGCAGCTCAGCCCACAGTGATAGCTTGTGGTGGTCAGGAATCAGAACTGGCTGTGACCCTAAAGGCCCACCACAGGCAAGCCACTTACATAGGCCACACCTCCTAAAGACTCCACAACCATTCAAACAAGTGTTCAGACACATGGACCCCTGAGCCTTCCAATGTTAAGTTCTGTACACTGACCTTTTCTTCTGTGTCACAGGCTCACTTATCACTGGAACTGCAAAGGGACAGCCACATGAAACAGCTTCTCCTCATCCAGGAGAGGTGGAAGAGAGCCAAGCGAGAGGAGCGGTTGAAAGCACAGCAGAGCGCAGAGCGGGATGGAGCCCCCCACCTGCAGGCATCTCACAGACCCTCTGAGGATGCGGAAGGCCAGAGCCCTCTTCTTTCTCAGACATACATCCCTTCCACAGAGAAGCGCCTCCCTGAGGTGCAGGGGGTCTTTGACAGGGATCCAGACACATTGCTATTTTTACTTCAGCAAAAGAATGAGCCATCAGAGCCCTGTATTGGAAGCAAAGCCCCAAAAGATGATAAAACAATTATAGAGGAGCAGGCAACCAAAATAGCAGAGTTGAAGAGGCATGTGGAGTTCCTTGTGGCTGAGAATGAACGATTAAGGAAGGAAAACAAACAGCTAAAGGCTGACAAGGCCAGACTCCTGAAAGGCACCGTGGAGAAGGAGCTGGACGTGGATGCGGACTTTGTGGAGAAGTCGGAGCTGTGGGGCTTACCTCCACCCTCGGAAACCGCCACCGCCTCTTCAAGCTGGCACAAGTTTGCAGCTAACACGGGGAAAGCCAAGGACATTCCAATACCCAACCTTCCTCCTCTGGATTGCCCATCTCCAGAGCTCCCGCTCATGGAGCTCTCGGAGGACATTCTGAAAGGCTTCATGAATGATTAAAACGGAAGGCCATTGGAGAGGCTGGTGACACAGTTAATCCAGAAAAGAATACAAAGGGAAAGCCACGCCCCAGGGGAATGCCAGAGATGCTCCCTCATCTGGGATGCTGTGGGAGAAGAGGCGGTGCCGGGACCTGGGAAAGTCACTGTGAAACATCACTCACTTCTTCACGACTCAAGCTCATGATTCCGACTTGGCAGCCACTGAACTCTTGGAGGTTCGCTTTCTTATGATACAAACCAAATGGCTACCTGGAATAATTTTTCAAACAGTTATTTTTCTTATCTTCAGGGTTAAATGTATAAAAGTATGTCATGTGTAATTAATCTATAATGCCATAAATGATAATGCAAAAGCTAAATATGGTGGCCTGAGAGGCTCACGTGTATTTGGAACATGCTTTCTATCATGCGTTGACTGTATGCATTTTATGCACATCTTGTTTGTTTGCGATATGGTGTGTAAGATACACGCTTCCAGACGGAACTGTATGTGCCACAGTTTGCACTACTCGTAACATAATGAGAACCTCAAGACTATCAGGAGAAATATTTAAATTTCCATTTTATGAAGAAAGGAACCAAATTATTAGTTATGCTTTTTAAAAAAAATTACCAGTTTACATAATTAATCAGGGTGCATTTTAAGTTCTAACTTTGTGTTATATGATGCATCATTTGAAAATACCAAGGAACTCTCCTTTGTTCTGGATGATGCATGTGTGAAAGTAACGCTAGTTAGCAGTATTCGATTGTAAGAAATCAATAAAACAATTGTGTTTCATACCTTTGTTGAGTATGGCTGGTGGTTGACAGACAAGGCACTCAGTGGCTTCTCCCTGTGTTCCTGCCCTTTCTTCCCTCGAGGCCCAGCCATGGGACTGAACTGTCCGTGCTGGTCTCAGACCTGTTTCAGTGAGCTCTATAGGCTGGGATGTACTTCAGTGCAGCACGTTTGCCAAGGAGAAGGGCCAGCTTTGTTTTGTATGAGCTGTGAGTTCTTTCAGCGTCTGCTCCCTTCTCTTCCTCCCATCACTTGGTAGCCTGCTGTTTTCTTAGACCCCTTTCTGTCCGTCTGTCGTTGACACTCTTCTGCACACTGTTGAGTGCTCTTGCATAGGCTGGTTTTGTGTTGGAGTCTGTGTGCTGTGTCACCATGCTCAGCTCAGTGAGTGTACACCCCTCAGGACCTCCTGGGCTTCATTTCTATCCAATGGGTTTCATTCACCTGAAAAGTTCTAGCAGAGTAATCCAAACTCTGCAGAAGGACCGACGTCCAGCTGGCTGGCAAGAAGTCAAACCTGGTCCCTTCTGCTTTGGCCCCCGAGGGACACTCACCTGTGGGATCCAACACGACCTTACAGGTAAGTGTCACACTGAATTGAATCGAAGGACACCTGATTGACCAGTGTCTACCAGAAAATGAGGTGAGTAGAGAACTCACACACATTTCATATCTGAAGGTACTGAACAGAGAGGAAAACCTGTTGGCTGGTTCACTCAGATGGCTGGTGAAAGAAATGGCTGTTCTTAATAGAAAGTATAAAGTCAGTGTGAGCATGCCCTGTGCAGGGAGAAACCAACATCAGGTGTCTTCCTCAGGTTCCCTCCACCTTTTGAGATCAGGCCTCTGACTTAAGCTGGAAGCTCACCAGATCAGCTAACCCTGAGATCTACGGCCCTTCCTGTCTGCTTCCCTTAGCGCTGGAACTACAGGCCTGTGCTGCCATGCCTGACTTTTTGTAGCATGAACAGGCCTTACAGGACCCAGGACCTTACAGACAGATGGTGGCTTTTTGTAGAGAGCTACTAACATATATATTTTAATAGTCGAGTGCCACTAGGTAGGGTAAGACACAGTGTGGTCCATCTATACCTTCAGGACTAGGCTATTGAGTCATTCCAAATGAGTGGTTCTCACCCACCCTAAGGCTGTGACCCTTTAATACAGTTCCTCATGTTGTGCTGACCTCCAACCATAAAGTTATGTTGCTATTTTCATGACTGTAATATTTGCTATTCTGAATCATCATCTGATATGTAGGATATCTGATATATGACCCTGTGGAAGGGTCATTGGACCTCCAAAGGGGTTGAAAACCTGGATGGTTGGAGGTGTTTGTGTTTGCCTTTCCCCCATCTTCCCTTTGGAAGCCACTGCTAACCAATAGTGCCATCTGGTGGACAGAATCAAAAGCCAGTTTTCCATCTTCCAGTAGGGAAGGAGTCTTACTGAGTGAGGCCTTCTTGGCAATCTGGGGGTGGGACTCAAGACCTTGTATGCTAGGCAAGCACTCTGCCACTGACTAGACCCCAAGTCCTGCTTGCCTAATGTAGAACAGATAGGAAAACCCAATTTTAAAAGTTTAAGAAAGAAATGGGGGCAGATGTGATGGCTCAGCGGATAAAGGCAGGACAGACACATTGTCCCCCAGGACCTATGTGGTAGAGAACCAGTCGGGACACGTCCTCTGACTACACACAAAAGATTCAGGCAGTAAGTTTTATAAAGAAATGTGTAAGCACCGTCAGGGACTGTAGGCTTGCCCTCCCAAGTACATGGGTATTTTGTATGCTATGTGTATCACTTGTGTGCCTGGTGGCCATGGAGTCCAAAAGTGTCCAATCCCTTGGAACTGGAATTACAAAAGGTAACTAACTATGTGGGTACAAGAAATTGAACCCTAGGTCTTCTGGAAGAGCAACCAGTACTGTTAACTACTGCTGTCATCTCTGGCCACCAACCTGGACTTTGTTTTAAAAGTCTTGCTGCTTCATTTGAATCTCAAGGCGCCTGGGGGATTAGGAGTGCGTGTGTACTTGTTCTTTTAAATATAAGGCCCAGGGGCAAGAAGATGGTTCTGTGGGTGCTTGCCACCAAACCTGATGATCCTAGTTGAGTCCTTGGGATTCATGGGGGGAGAACCAACTCCCACAACTTGTCCTCTGACTTCCAGTTAAGTAATGACACGTCCTAAGATGCAGCTTTGACCTTCCCTACACAGAGCCTACATGTAAGGTATAGCCTTCATTGGTCCCAGGACTGAGCTCTTACTAAGACAAAACACACACACACACACACACACACACACACACACACACACACACACACACACACACACACAC